AATGAATGAATGAATGAATGAATGAATGAATGCAAGCAAAGCAAGCAATAAAACCACATTATGCACATTTACAACACTGGATGCTGCAGAGCAGTTAAACAAATAAAAAAGGGAAAAGAAACAGAAGATGGCCTAACCTGACTACCTCCTACCTGTGTTAAACTGAATGGATTAAATTGCTAATACTTAAGTTCCTCCTTTTCTTTTTTAAAGTTTCCTTTTTAAAGTTCAGAAAAGTTTAAATTTTCTGGGTCAACTACCAACCATTTCATCTTAATTGTTTTATTTGTATGGCCTATCAGGTCCCTTCACAAAATATACTCTGTGTGTGTATATACAGATAGCAGTACAAAATATAGATGTCAGGCACTGCTTCACCCACAATTCTTTATGGACTGCGACACTGTTTCCACTCTTTTGCCAAGAAATAAACGTGTAAGGAAAAGTATGAGAATCTTAATGAAAATCTTACTTGGGTGAATGATCCATCTTCATGACACTCTGGAACGAAGACCGCTTCTTGTGGCTTCTTTACTTGATCCAGTGCTTGGGCTCTTTCTAATCTGCATTTGCTTTGACCAGCATCTTTGAAGAAAATCCATTTGGAATTTAAATAAAGATAAGCAATATAACAAAGGCACTATGGCATTTCATTGAAAATAAGTTCAAAAGGAAAGCACAGACAACCCTGTTTTGCTGTACCACATTTATCTATGTAACAGATAGGCAATACAGAGTCTTCAAGATATTCTGAATTATTAACCCATCAGCATGTCAAATAATCAGACCTACGTACAAACGGAGAGCAGCTAGAATTAACATTGATAAGTTCAAGGTTCATTCCTACTATAATCATTTTATTATGGATGAGGTTTTTATAAAAAAAACTCTATGCAAGTGAGGAATAAGTAATGGCTGAAGTAGTTTCTAACATATGAAAGCTAATTAGTTCTGTTACCTTTTAAATTACTCTGGGATTTTTTTCATCTATTTTTACTGAGGACTACTTCAAACTATCCTGTCCTTCTAGCTCTGATGGTTAAGCAATTACCCCCCCTTACAAGAGGCTACTTATTTTTCCTGTATGAAGGACCCAAATTAGTTGGAAATGCCCTTCTGTCAAAATGTTGCCAACATTTATGACATCATGCTCCTGAAGAACAGATCAAAACCTGGCGGGGGGGGGGGGATGGCAGAAATCAGCCGCCACTGGCAATGCCATATCA